ATAACCGTTCATGTTCATTAAAAGGCACATTCTCTGGGGCAATTCATGTTTAAGGTAAGTACACGCTTTCATTTTGAGGGAAGGAGGGAGCAACCTTTCCTAAAGTTTTACACACATATGGGCCCAAACCAAAGCCCGAGATCCAAACACATCTGACTCTGAGGTGTTCAAAACCTGCACCAGGACCTTGATCTTAATTTTTTTTTAAAGGCCCAAACCAAAACCACCAAACTTTGGTCTGCTTGTAATTATGTTTCTAGTTATAGACCATCTCTGACTTTACCATCAGTTTCCTAATATTGAAACCACTGGCTGGTCTGTATTCCTCCAAGATAAGTCCTGACTACAATCCTTACCATATTTAGAACTGATAAAATGAAGATAATGGAACTGACAAGATATGTTCTTTGAATAAATGCAGCAGGGCCCACAGGGAAAAGTCTAAACAAAAAGAGACAAACAACAAGGGTGCTCAAGATTTTGGGAAATAGATGATATCCAAAATGCAGCAATTATCTCCTTGGACACACCAGGAAAACACAAAACCACCTTCAATGAGGTGAGAATGGAATATTTTGGAGGTTGTGTCACAGGCCTCATTCACGTAAAGAACAAAGATGCTGACAAATGTCTCTCAATACAGCATCTCTAGACACAGCCTTCAGCACTCTCATATTGATCAATCACATGACAGAATGGTGAGTGGTGGGAATATGGTTGCCAGAGACCAATTAGCTAGAGATTTCCTCTGGAACACCCCAGTGGGGGATGGTCTTTACCATCACACATTGGTGTATACAGGAGTGAGGGTAGCTGATGACCTGGCCAAAATGGGAAGATCAGAAACTCAGATTGGAATGACAATGGTTAAAGATACTGACCCCCTATCAGTATATTAGCTGAAATACATAGTCAAAAGATGAAAGATCCTCTGATTGATATCCAAGCATCTTGTAAAATAACATCTGATATCTTGAGACTGTGAATGAGGCACAATGCAGGAATGAAAATCAGGAGAGATGGGACCAAGATATATCCATTCTGCAAGTTGTGTTGGGAGCAGGCTTTAACATCTGCCCATGATTTACAAGGTAGTATTGTAAAGAAAATGAAGTTTTTTGGATTGGACACCAAGTATCAAACTAGGGTGGTCAAGTGATTAAAAAAATTAATCGCACGATTAATCGCACTGTTAAACAATAATAGAATACAATTTATTTAAATATTTTGGGATGTTTTCTACATTTTCAAATATATTGATTTCAATGACAACACAGAATACAGTGTACAGTGCTTATATTTATTTTTGATTACAAGTATTTGCACTGTAAAAAACAAAAAAGAAATAGTATTTTTCAGTTCACCTAATACAAGTACTGTAGTGCAATCTCTTTATCATGAAAGTTCAACTTACAAATGTAGAATTATGTTAAAAAATGCATTCAAAAATAAAACTATGTAAAATTTTAGAGATTGCAAGTCCACTCAGTCCTACTTCTTGTTCAGCCAATCGCTCAGACAAACAAGCTTGTTTACATTTGCAGGAGTTAATGCTGCTCGCTTCTTGTTTACAAAGTCACCTGAAAGTGAGAATAGGCGTTCTCATGGCACTGTGGTAGCCAGCTTCGCAAGATATTTATGTGCCAGATGCGCTAAAGATTCATATGTCCCTTCATGCTTCAACCACCATTCCAGAAGACATGCGTCCATACTGATGACAGGTTCTGCTCAATAACGATCCAAAGCAGTGCGTTCCAACGCATGTGCATTTTCATCATCTGAGTCAGTTGCCACCAGCAGAAGGTTGATTTTCTTTTTTGGTGGTTCAGGTTCTGTAGTTTCCGCATTGAAGTGTTGCTCTTTTAAGATTTCGGAAAGCATGCTCCACGCCTCGCTCCTCTCAGATTTTGGACGGCATTTCAGATTGTTAAACCTTGGGTCGAGTGCTGTAGCTATCTTTAGAAATCTCACATTGGTACCTTCTTTTCGTTTTGTGAAATCTGCAGTGAAAGTGTTCTTAAAATCAACATATGATGGGTCATCATCCAAGACTGTTAGAACATGAAATATATGGCAGAATGCGGGTAAAGCAGAGCTGGGGACGTACAATTCTATCCCAAGGAGTTCAGTCACAAATTTAATTAACCCATTATTTTTTTTAACGAACGTCATCAGCATGGAAGCATGCCATCTGCAATGGTGGCCAAAGCATGAAGGGGCATACGATGTTTAGCATATCTGGCACGTAAATACCTTGCAATGCCGGCTACAAAAGTGCCATGTAAATGCCTGTTCTCACTTTCTGGTGACATTGTAAATAAGAAGAGAGCAGCATTATTTCCTGTAAATGTAAACAAACTTGTTTGTCTTAGTGATTGGCTGAACTAGAAGTAGGACTGAGTGGACTTGTAGGCTCTAAAATTTTACATTGTTTTGTTTTTTTGAGTGCAATTATGTAACAACAACAAAATCTACATTTGTAAGTTGCAATTTCACAACAAAGAGATTGCACTACAATACTTATATGAGGTGAATTGAAAAATACTATTTCTTTTGTTTATCATTTTTACAGTGCAAATATTTGAAATAAAATATAATATACACTTTGCATTCTGTGTTGTAATTGAAATCAATATATATGAAAATGTAGAAAAACATCCAAAATATTTAATACATTTCAATTGGTATTCTATTGTTTAACAGTGTGATTAAAACTGCGATCAAGCACGATTCATTTTTTTAATTGCGCTTAATTTTTTTGAGTTAATCACGTGAGTTAACTGCGATTAATCGACAGCCCTAATCAAAACCTTACAGAGGACTCTGCATGGTTGCAAAATTCATTCTCAAACTTCATGCCTGATATGATTATCGCAGGACAAAACATCAAAACAACAACAACTTGACAGAATTAAGATATTGGTCATCACATAAGATCCCCCAGTGCAGACACTAGCAACTGATCAGGAAACAGGTCCTTTTAACCTAAATTTCTCAAGCTGATCAAATGGAACCTGAATCCCAACTGTTGCAAACTCAAAACCTGATTGACAGGATCTTGCAAAACCACATGTAGTTCTTGGTCATTGTACTTAAATAGTTGCTTGGAAGCCAAGTGCAGTCCAATATGAAACACAATCACTGAGCATTAAAGATTCTTTTTCAAATTGGAGTCATTTACTCCAAGATACATTAAGGTAGAAACTGAATGGATGGCTTATTCATACTTAACACAAACAAAGTAACTAACTGTTTTGTTTCTTAAACCGGGAGGGGGGGGAACAGTATACGATCTGCAAACCTTTCCCACTGAGAGGCTCAATCCCTGAAAATCTGAAACTATTTAGAGAATGGGACACCAACAAGGAGGTGCTCTCAGCTAGGGAGACGCAGGTAGAAGGTATTTAAATCTTACAACATCATTTGTGACCATGAGAGCTAACATTATTATATACTAAATACTGTTAATGTACAATCTATTGAATATATATGGGCACATCTACATAGTATATTTGCCTAAAACACATACATTAATACATCTCTGCATTCATTGTAAACTCCGGAATAGTAGTAAGAGAGCTTTGTGTGGAGGACCCACATTGGGGTTGGAATTGAAACTCTCTTCCCCATGCTGTGGCTAGGGTGTGGGACTCCTCTGTAGCAGATTGCCTAAGATTTCCACCACCACAGTCGTGTTTGGGGCAAGTGGATCTATGTTGTTTGAAGACCCTCTAGCCACATCCTGCCAGCCCACAAACTGCCCTCTCCAATCCCACAGGCAGAGTCACTCTGGAGCACTGCTTTGCAGTACAAAAGAGCATGCTAAGTCCCCTTGTGGGACTCCCCAAACCCTGCAGAGTGAAAACGTACGTTATGACTGCATTTGGGGCCTTGTGTGCCAGGATTTCACCCTAAAATTTTACTTTTAAGAATCTGCAAGCAGATCAACAATGACTTGAACCACAATTTGGGGCAGTGACTGTCTTCATGTATGTGGACTGTGCCAAGCATATAATAGGCACTATCAAACTACAAAAGATAAACAACAATATCATCTCTCTAATGCTGTTTCATTCTCTGCAACCTCCAGTGGTTTTAGATGTTTATAGCTGTTTATCCCTGTTTTTATATGTTGCACAGGCACACAGGCCCAAGTTTTCAGACTTGTATGTGCAAAACTGTGCACACAATTGGCATATACAATGTTTATATGTTTACGAATGGCTAGTCTTTTTATCTTAAGTTACGGTGACTTCGTGTGCAATTAAAGTAAATTTTGTGGATGTATTTCATATATTTTTACGCATGCAGTTCTGAAAATTTAGGCACAGACAACACAAAGTTTATGTAAACACAATAACTGTTCATGGTATGAATATAGTCAGCAAAAGACCTTACAAATCACAGTTACATGGGAACAAATATTGATCTATCATTTAAATTAGGCACCATTTCAAAAAGGTCTTCACTGCCAAAACTCCATTTACTTTAATATTTCCTAGATTGTCTTTGTACTTTGTCTCTTGGCAGTCCTCAAATAAATACAGCGCTCAAAACAGAGAGGACCTGATCCTGCACGGTGTTGAGTCCTCCTGCCATGTGCTGAGCACCATCTTCTCCCAACTGAGTAAATGGAAAGTAAGGGCACTCAGCACTTGGAAGGATGGTCCAGAAATATCATGTGTCTTCTTTCTTCCCAATAGAGTTTTAAGAACAGTTTTGAACTTGGAATTTAATAACATAGAAACAAAAAGAAGCAGGAAGTACATCCAAATACAACAATCTAGTATTACAGAACCAGAGACATTGGCTTTAGAATAGTGGCATGAACTGTGGCTGGTTTTCCACATGCTGTGCATCACATATTGTAGGGGTCTCCCCTGCGTGGTGATGGGATCAACACATGTTTATGTATACTCCTTAAGTATCCAGAGCACAACATATGGGCCAATGCCACAACCGCCAGGGAGAAAAAATAGAAACAAAGGGAACGGACATACCCGATCTGTCGGTTTGTGGAAGGTGCTTGTGTTATGACCGAGCTGGACTGTGGAGATGGCATGGCTTGTTGAATCACAACGCTGGTGTCATGGTTTGGCATCCTAGTATTCGTGAGCTGGTGGGTTCCGGGTCCTGCCATTGCTCCTCCAACTGTGTTATGCATCGAGATATTCTGTGAAAGGCAGAGAAGTGGGGGAGAAAAAATGAATATTTTATTTTGTTTCCATGCTCCGTATGCCTAAAATTAGGAATCTGGAAGTGTCAACAAAAAATGAAAAGTTGCTGGCTCCTGGCATACCTCCAGTCAATATATCTCACTCTAACAACTACAAAGAAATGAAAAATATCTATTTACTTTTACAGGACAATACAAATGGAAAATACCTGGAAGTTGACTAATCACTCTTCTGTGGTTCTGACTCGTGATTTATAATGGGGATGTGTAGCACATATTCCTTTGACTGAATAAGATATATATTTTTCCTTTGAAAATTATTTTCGCAGTGAGTGCATGGCACTTTGATTTACTATGCTGGCTGTTCACCGAGAATTAGATCTGCTTAGAAGGACAAGTGAATCACGTTTTATGGTCTTAGAGTAACAACCCGTACGTGATATTTCATGAGAAAGCCATTTCTTCTAGATGCAGTAGGTGTCCTAGAGCAATAATGTCCTAGAGCCCAGCGAGGCTGGTGAATAAAAATAACTTTATGAGGGCACTTTCTACCACCAATCTATGGATTATGTTGCAAGAGAACGAGCAGTAGCCTACCGCTAATAGGGGCTCACCTCACTATGTAGCTTATGTAGGCTGAGTTCATTGCACACCCCAGGGGCTCCTTGTATCCCCCAGGGCCGCCCGGGGGGGGGGGGGCAAGTGGGGCAATTTGCCCCAGATCCCAGGCCCCGCAGGGGCCCCGTGAGCCCTGGCTGAGAATCCCTTTCCTGGCTAGAGACGCCTTTTTACTTACCCAGCAGTGGTCCGGGTCTTCAGCGGCATTTCGGCGGTGGGGGGCCCTTCAGTCGCTCCGGGTCTTCGGCGGCATTTTGGCGGCGGGTCCTTCAGTGCTGCCGAAGACGCGGAGCGACTCAAGGACCCGACGCCACCGCCACAGACTCGGAGCGCCGCCCGGTGAGTATGTCCGCTCCCCCGCTTTGCTCCAGGCCCCTGAATCCTCTGGGCGGCCCTGGTATCCTGCTATTCCATTCCCCACAATTTCTCTGTGAGCCATCCTCCCACCCTCCCATTTTTTCAAGGAATCCATGCAATCCCCCCAATATCTCCTTTGCCAGGGGTTGTGTGTGCCCCCACTGCCACCTTCCCCCCCCCCAGTGCCAGGGGCTCTTTATAGCTCCTCTTCCCCCATTTCAAGGCCCCCTTCATTCTCCCCCGCAATAGCAGGGGCTCTGTGTACACCCCTTCTCTCCCCCTTCCCTTCTTTCACCTATATCAGAGTTCCCCAATCTTCCCCTATCTGTGGGCCCCTATTCCCTCCTCCCCCAATAGCAGGGTTTCCCATTTTCCCCCCATGGCAGGGGATCTGGGTGAACTCTTATTATTCTCTTCCCTCCATTTCACCCTTCTCCCCCATTCTGCCCTCCCACATAATAGGGACCCCCCATTATCGCCCACAGGTCAGGGACTGTGTGCACCCCATATCCCTCCATTTCCCCCCCGCCCCATCAACAATTCTTTGTCTTGCTCTCTGGGAGCTAAGTTATTCAGGGTGTCAACATGTTAAATTGCCGAGGTGCTTGAAGCTGTGCCCGTGCTAATCAAATAGCAGGGACTTCATAAGTATGTCTGTCTACACTGAATTAGCAACAAAAATGAGAAGTCCTTGTGGCACCTTAGAGACTAACAAATTTATTTGGGCATAAGCTTTCGTGGGTGGGTTCTAGCCCACGAAAGCTTATGCCCAAATAAATCTGTTAGTCTCTAAGGTGCCACAAGGACTCCTCGTTGTTGTTTTTTGCTGATACAGACTAACACGGCTACCACTGAAACCTGTCACCACTGCACTGAATTAGATACCCGCAGCTGGCCCATGCTAGCTGACTTGGGCTTGCAAGACTAGGGCTAAGGGGCTGTTTAATTGCGGTGTAGACATTTGGGCTCAGGCTGGAGCCCAGGCTCTTGGACCCTGCGAGGTGGGAGGGTCCCAGAGCTAATGCTGCAACCTGAGCCCGAATGTCGATGCTGCAATTAAACCGCCCCTTAGCCCGAGCCCTGCGATCCCTAGTCAGCTAGCACAGGCCAGCTGCGGGTATCTAGTTGCACTATAGACATACCCCATGTGTCCAACATTTCCCCCGTTTCAGTTTTCCAATTTGCCCCAAAATGTCCATTGATACCTAGAACATACCCTAAAAATTTTGGAATTGATTGGATGTGGCATTCAAAAGTTATCACATAACAGACAGACCAACGCTGTTGAGCATAAGGTTTCTGGAGGCTCAGCCAACTAATGCGTGTGTGTGTGCATCATTCAATAAGAGGCATGAAAATAAATCCCCTTACTACCCTTCTCTTCCACCTAGAATCAAATAATACCATATATCTTCTATGATGACTACAATACTCAGGATTCAAAAGTAAAGCTAGGTTTCTAGCACAATTCTGCTCAGAGCTCCGGTATGAAACTGCAGAAAAACCTGAGAGTCTCTGGATTAAGTTTAGAAGTGTGAGCAACAAGGGTGATGTCATGGTGGGAGTCTGCTATAGACCACTAGAATGAGGTGGACAAGGCTTGCTTCCGGCAACTAGCAGAAGTTACTAGATCGCAGGCCCTGGTTCTCATGGGAGACTTTAATCACTCTGATATCTGCTGGGAGAGCAATACAGCAGTGCACAGACAATCCAGGAAGTTTTTGGAAAGTGTAGGGGACAATTTCCTGGTGCAAGTGCTGGAGGAACCAACTAGGGGCAGAGCTTTTCTTGACCTGCTGCTCACAAACAGGGAAGAATTAGTAGGGGAAGCAAAAGTGGATGGGAACCTGGGAGGCAGTGACCATGAGATGGTCGAGTTCAGGATCCTGACACAAGGAAGAAAGGAGAGCAGCAGAATACGGACCCTGGACTTCAGAAAAGCAGACTTTGACTCCCTCAGGGAACTGATGGGCAGGATCCCCTGGGAGAATAACATGAGGGGGAAAGGAGTCCAGGAGAGCTGGCTGTATTTTAAAGAATCCTTATTGAGGTCGCAGGAACAAACCATCCCAATGTGTAGAAAGAATAGTAAATATGGCTGGCAACCACCTTAGCTTAACAGTGAAATCCTTGCTGATCTTAAACGCAAAAAAGAAGCTTACAAAAAGTGGAAGATTGGACAAATGACCAGGGAGGAGTATAAAAATATTGCTCAGGCATGCAAGAGTGAAATCAGGAAGGCCAAATCACACTTGGAATTGCAACTAGCGAGAGATATTAAGAGTAACAAGAAGAGTTTCTTCAGGTATGTTAGCAACAAGAAGAAAGTCAAGGAAAGTGTGGCCCCTTACTGAATGAGGGAGGCAACTTAGTGACAGAGGATGTGGGAAAAGCTAATGTACTCAATGCTTTTTTTGCCTCTGCCTTCACAAACAAGGTCAGCTCCCAGACTGCTGCACTGGGCAGCACAGTATGGGGAGGAGGTGACCAGCCCTCTGTGGAGAAAGAAGTGGTTCGGGACTATTTAGAAAAACTGGACGAGCACAAGTCCATGGGGCCGGATGCACTGCATCCGAGGGTGCTAAAGGAGTTGGTGGATGTGATTGCAGAGCCATTGGCCATTATCTTTGAAAACTCATGGCGACTGGGGGAGGTCCCGGATGACTGGAAAAAGGCTAATGTCGTGCCCATCTTTAAAAAAGGGAAGGAGGAGGATCCGGGGAACTACAGGCCAGTCAGCCTCAACTCAGTCCCTGGAACAACCATGGAGCAGGTCCTGAAGGAATCAATTCTGAAGCACTTAGAGGAGAGGAAAGTGATCAGGAACAGTCAGCATGGATTCACCAAGGGCAAGTCATGCCTGACTAACCTAATTGCCTTTTACGGTGAGATAACTGGCTCTGTGGATGAGGGGAAAGCAGTGGATGTGTTATTCCTTGACTTTAGCAAAGCTTTTGATACGGTCTCCCACAGTATTCTTGCCAGCAAATTAAAGAAGTATGGGCTGGATGAATGGACTATAAGGTAGATAGAAAGCTGGCTAGATCGTCGGGCTCAACGGGTAGTGATCAATGGCTCCATGTCTAGTTGGCAGCTGGTATCAAGCAGAGTTCCCCAGGGGTCGGTCCTGGGGCCGGTTTTGTTCAATATCTTCATTAATGGTCTGGAGGATGGCATGAACTGCACTCTCAGCAAGTTTGCAGATGACACTAAACTGGGAGGAGTGGTAGATACGCTGGAGGGTAGGGATAGGATACAGAGGGACCTAGACAAATTAGAGGATTGGGCCAAAAGAAACCTGATGAGGTTCAACAAGGACAAGTGCAGAGTCCTGCACTTAGGACAGAAGAATCCCATGCACTGTTACAGACTAGGGACCGAATGGCTAGGAAGCAGTTCTGCAGAAAAGGACCTAGGGGTTACAGTGGACGAGAAGCTGGATATGAGTCAACATTGTGCCCTTGTTGCCAAGAAGGCTAATGGCATTTTGGGCTGTATAAGTAGGGGCATTGCCAGCAGATCGAGGGACGTGATCATTCCCCTCTATTCGACATTGGTGAGGCCTCATCTGCAGTACTGTGTCCAGTTTTGGGCCCCACATTACAAAAAGGATGTGGAAAAATTGGAAAGAGTCCAGCGGAGGGCAACAAAAATGATTAAGGGGCTGGAGCACATGACTTATGAGGAGAGGCTGAGGGAACTGGGATTGTTTAGTCTGCAGAAGAGAAGACTGAGGGGAGATTTGATAGCTGCTTTCAACTACCTGAAAGGGGGTTCCAAAGAGGATGGATTTAGACTGTTCTCAGTGGTAGCAGATGACAGAACAAGGAGTAATGGTCTCAAGTTGCAGTGGGGAGGTTTAGGTTGGATATTAGGAAAAACTTTCACTAGGAGGGTGGTGAAGCACTGGAATGGGTTACCTAGGGAGGTGGTGGAATCTCCTTCCTTAGAGATTTTTAAGGTCAGGCTTGACAAAGCCCTGGCTGGGATGATTTAGTTGGGAATTGGTCCTGCTTTGAGCA